TCATTCACGGATGTCAATCATGTCCTTTTTCTTCTAATTGGTCTTATGATGAATGGTTTTGGAAGGCGGCTGCTCGACCCCGGTAGAGATGTTCGGGCGATTACCGTCGAGCTCACGCACAACTCATCGTGCCATATAGTACCTCGGCCCGTCCCGAGTCTCATTGCTACACCGCCGCTGGCGACACAACTGATCTGATGGACTGTCGCCTGGTGGTGTCCTTGGGGCTGTAGAGGCCATCGTCCTCCGAGGACCTTGTAGCAAGGGCTGTGCTTTCATGACATGCCGGGCCGTCGGCAAGCTTGATGCTTGAAGCGGATCTACTTCTCGAGTTGAGGATCGAGAAAGCTGTGAAACCCTGAGACTGAAGATTTTGCGAGACTTCTGTCCCAAGTTTAGGGGATGCTTCGGGCTCCCGCTGTGGCTCAGACTGGGGACGAGGATCGTATGAGGATCTAGGAGGAAGTTTCACAGGTGTGCGCCCGTCTCTTCTGGCCTTCAGATTTGCTCAGGGCGTCTGCGGCATGCGACTCAGAACCCGTAAATTTCAACTCCGGCACCTGGTTTTCATGCTCAAAGCTCAGGCTTGTCTGCGGCTTGGTGATGCGCAGATCATGCCGAGCACACCGGTCTGGCCACATGCATCAACCCCGAAGGGGATGGAAAAGGGCAACCTTTAAAGAAGCCTTTCAAGGACGACTACGACTACGGCGGCGGTGCGGCATCGCTGCTGGTGCTGCTTATGCCCATGGCATCCCTAAGCTCCAGGTGCTGTTCGTCTTCCACTGTTGTGAAAAGGCAGGCCGGCGAGCACCGCCCTTTGCATCGGCTCACTTGACCTGAGCCTTCTGGAGGTAATCGATCACCCCCTGCGCCAGCGAAAGTGGCAGGGCGAGGCTTTGCAATCTGCAACATTGAAACACGTCTCACAACAAGAGAGGCAGTGTCTCCGAAACAACTACAACCAAACGAGTTCAGTTCGTCAAGTCCCACCTACTTCAACTTTTAGTCACTTTAGTAATAGTCTCCGCAGAGAGCGTGAACCGACAAAGGTCTGAAGTACAGCAGAAGCCTGCCTGCTTTACTCTGTGAAGCCAGGGTCAGGGTTGGAAAGCCCCCTCAACAAATTGGACGCCCAGTCGACGATGATGTGATCGCAAATCATATGAAGTACTAGCAGGGGTCACAGATCTTAATGCTTCAAGGCGACGAAACTTCCAGGCGTAAGCGGGTTTAAGCCCTCAGGATTTCGGCTTCCTCAGGAGACTATGCTGAAGATGAGCGTGCCTGGACGGAGGAAATGGCGTCCGAATCGGCATCGGAAATGACGTGCTCGAACCTGGAGGTCAAAATACATACTCTCAAACCTTTCTGGGGACTGACTACTCACGGATTGTTGGTGGCCGAGCAATCCCAACCCTGAAATGGTCAGAGGCCCTAAATCTTAGCAAGCCCAATCAAAGTCCGCCCAGGAACTCCTCCTCAACCTCCAAGAGCACCTCCACCTTCCAGCCAGGAGGTGCAGGAGATAGTCGTATTTCGACTGATCGGTTCAGGAGTCGGGGACTAGGATGCCGAGAGAAAAACACCCAAAAAGAACCCTGGAGAAGAGTGATCGGAAGAAGCCGTCGGACTGGGTGTAGTAGCGAGCTTCGACAGGCCTTGAAGGCACAGAGAAGATAGGGCACCCTTTTTTTTGCACGCTCAGCACATCAGAAGGGCTGTTCAGGTTTCGTTGAAATCAAGATCATCCGCCAAGTCTCTATGGCAGTGCCTGGAAGGAAGGAGCCCACTAGGGGAACGCCGGGCGGCCTTGTCCAGATCGTCGAACTTCAGATCCTCCCACTTCGTGTCAAGGGAAACTTCCTTGGAGAACTGTTGTCCAGCTAAGAGAGCAATGCAGGCATGACAAGCACTTGGCGTACAGGGAAAGAAAGCAGTCAAAGGATAGAGAGAGAGAGAGAGAGCAAACCGGGCGAGGACTAGGAATCTAGTCCAGAGGCATCCCACCATCTCCAAGAGTTTTTTTTGAGGTGTTTGGTGTGCTAGTTGTTCCTGGCTGCAAGGAGTCTATGATGCCGATGCCCTGCACATACCCTTGAGCGGACACGACAGCCCCACCGCGACCACTGCAGCATGCCCACCTAAACAAACCCTAAACCCTAAAAGCCCAAGCATCTGTTTCTTCCAGCACCTTGAGGGCTTCACTCTGCTGGTCAGATTTGTTCTCCTGAGCTTCAGGGTTTAGAATCCGGACTTCGGTCTTTAAAACTTGCGGCTTTGGGCTTCTTAGCCGAACTCTTCGAAGGATTCGGAGCTTACTTAGGAAGGCATTTAGGGTTTCGGGCTCCAGTTGTCTTGTTCACCTCTACTGCTTCCTTCTCGGTTGCAAGCCCTATGCCCCGAGCTCAGACCCTGGCTCTACGACCTACAGCCTTAAAGCCCTAGGACCAGAAGGTCAAGAAGAAAAGACAGAAGCTTCTGACCCAGCTTCTGTCTCCAGCCGCAGGTCCTGGGACGTTGCGCTTCGGGTATGTAGAGGCTTGAGGTTTTTGGGGTTCCAAGCTTGAGGCGTATAGGGAGTTGGCAATGGCTACGGAGCTAATTTGGGATTGTTTCGTTTTTTACAAAAGTACGCGTTCATGGTCACGGATTGAAACTTGAATCAGCGGTGCGGGTGTCCTAAAGCCGTCCCGAAACGAAGCACAGGTCCTCCACTCGCAGCTTCATGTACCTTTGGAAGCAGGCTGCAGTGCAAGGTCGGTGAGCCATTAGGCACAAGATATTCAATCCAAATTCTGAATATATGATCCTTCGGAACGGATCATGCCCCATCCCATCCTGCTGCAGCAGAACACATCACACGTCTTGAACCTTGCCGCCGGCTCGGCAAGAATGGAGCAGGTTATGTTTAGTATCTCCCTCCCTCTCTACATGCCGAAACTACAGCGGCAGTGGTGCTAACTTGTGAGAGGCTGATGCCGCTCATCGGCCAAGAATCTACTACAACGCTTCGGTGTGCACATGTGGCTCGAACTGCTAGAAGGGAGCGGCGTCGGATGGTTCAGGTGAGAGCCCTGGAAGCTTGGAGGGAGCCCCAAAGGCTCATCCGCCGGGAGTGAGCGAATCTCTTTCGGTCCGGATCGCTTCTTCACGGAGTTGATAACTCGCTCCTCCACGGAGGCAGCTGCAAAGCCTGAAGGGAAGACAGGTGCAAGCTTGGATGCTGAAGCCCTTAAAGTTATCAAGCTCTGAGAAAGTAAGGACAAAGGGTCTCCCATGCCCTGTCTCTCCTCCGGGCCCCTGTAGGCCTACTCCTGGGCTCGGCCTATGTTCTCTGAGTGTCGTTTGTTTTTTGACTCGGGGCCTCTTTGGAGCCTCGATGCGGAGACCTGGGTGAACATGTCTGAAGTTTCTTCCAGGCTTGTGTGCCGGCACGTGAAGGTTAATAAGTTAAGACTAAGATGCAGCGGGCCTTCTAGCTCCCGTCAATGCAGCCCGCAACCATGTAAGCTTTCATTTCACAGCGATGTCATTTTTTAATCACCTCTTTTCCTTCGCCTGATAAGGTGTCCGGAATACCAGCGATGTCAAGGTTTTGCTTTTCGGGACTTGCCTGCGTGTTTCTTCGAAAGACCTCCAAGCCCAAGAGGCTGGCTTTGCAGCTTCGCAAGGAGCAGCCCGAGGTTCTATCCATAGAGTTCCGAGCAACTGAGGTTCCAGAGGTCCAGTGTCATGCTGGATCCCCAAAATCTCCAGACACGACTTCTCAACCCCTATAAGACCAACCTGTGCCCAAAACTAACAAATTCGCGCGACCCCCCCGCCCCCGCCCCACCCCACCCCCCCTGAAATATTCAGGCCCTAGCTTCTTTGACTTCTCTCATGTCCAGGCAGCCCCGCTGCCCAGACCACACTGCGCCGGGGCGAAGGATCGAGGACAAGGTGCTCCTGAACGAGCTATGATCTAACAACGAGAGAGCGTGCCTTTTCGGGGGACAGCAAGTAAAAGGCACAGACTCACTCACCTCACCTCACCCACTCGCTCAAAATAGCTAAAGACCAGAACAGAGAACACTGGCATGCTCACGATGATGGTGAACCCTTGTCGTCAAGTGGCGGCGACGCTCTCCGCGCAGCCGTCGCCAAAACACGCCCAGTCGAAGCGAGCATGGCGGTAGCAAGACTGGGGACTAAAAAGCCAAGGTGGGCAAACCCTAAAGCGTGTAGAGAAGTCCCACAGAACAGACCTCATGTATCCTGCTTACCGTTTACGCTTTTGAGCTGGAAGATGCCCGCCAGGCGATCGAAGCCCCTTCGATCTTCTTCTCGGGTTCTAGGTGCTGAGCTCCTGACACAAGCAACAGGATCAACGAAACAGCCCGGAGGCTACATTGCCCCACGCCAAAGCCACTGGCCACCATAGCAGGGCTGAGAGCCGAGCTCCATCGGGCAGAAGGGCTCGGGCAGTTGCAGTGGCTTGTACTGTGCGTCGTGTTTGGACAGAGCATCGAAACAAAGCTATGGACCAAGCCAAGGCCGCTTCTCATGTCATGTGCTGAAGATGAGCTGCTGAAGCTGCTGGTGGTGGTCAGCTGTGGTGCTCCGGCGGGATAATGGTGATACCATCGGAAAACCAAAACCGTGGACATGGCCTAGGCCTGCCTTTGTCATGTGCATACTCGATCTATCGAGGCTTCATCGACAGGGGCGGCGAGGTGACGGAGCGCATGATTGATCACGTTCGCATGCTGAAGGCCTTGGTGCGGCTGTCTGGGGTCAGGCTCCGGGGTCCTGACAACTCCATGCAACCTCCGATGGTGCTACCAAGCCATAAGTCACAACCGATTGAAGAATTCGCCTTGAGCTTGACTCCCCAAAATCCAAGTCCATCGACCGCCAAATCGCCGACGCACCCAAGCCCTAATTTCAAGAGCCTTTGCACCCCCCCCCCGAAATCAGACCCCTCGGCCCTTCAAAACCCAAAAGGAGAAGGAGGCCTCGACAGGCGGAAGGGCCTTCCACAAAGGCAGCGAAAGGCCGCCGGGACTTCGGCGGCCTCTTCTTTCCGTCTTTTTTTTTAAAGGGCTCAGCAAGGGCTTAGGCTTGAAGGGCTGAAGGTTCTCAAAGCTCCTGGGATTCCTGTCTCTTCCTTTTCCATAAGGGTTTATGGCATAACAGGGCTTCGGGCATCGCCTTGGAGTGCCTCGGGGTTTCTTTTGACATTTGACATCTCTTGCCCTTAAAGACTTGGACATCGGAGCACTGCGACTCGCTGGCGACATCGAGGTCTAGCGATGCAATCCATGGGAGCACTGTCAAAAGTTTCCAGTGAAGAGTCCGACGCCCTACACATTTTCAACCCTGGGCCAATTATCCCAAGCCCTCCATCGGAAGCGAGCTGGGCAGATACGAGGGACGATAAAGCGAAATAGACTTTGGGTTTGCACCTGCATCTTCAATCCGAGTCTTGTCAGTAAACCAAAGCCAAAAAAACCAGAAGCTGCTAACCTGCTAAATGGTTTGTGTCGAGGAGATCCGCAAATGAGGCGATTGGTGCGTTTAGGCTGCCGGAGGCGGCTTGCACATGGCGTGCACAAGATGCTGCTGAGATCTTACTTCCTTCACGCATACGGTCAGCAAAGCCCCCACTCCGAATCCGAATCCTTGGAAGAATGCCCTACACCCAAAGCCAGAACCCGATCCCGAAAGCCTCGTGCTGCGAGTCTACAAGCTCCATGCCTGCCGCTTGCACAAAGCAGAAACCCGAACCCTGCAAACGCTCCGAAACTCCTGCTGCATGACTTGGATCTACATTTTGTGGGTATTTCGGGTATGGCGCAAGTTCACGGTGACGGCTCGCTTTGCTGCTTCGGCCAGTGGTCAGTAAGTTATTTTGGGGTAAACCAGTGGACATACCATCTCGAGATGTGACAGACTGGTTCTTGTGTGTTTGTGGCTTCGGGCTGAGTGAGCTTAGTGCCAGGCCGCCGCATTCTGAAACAAACAGAACATGTCTCGGACCATGCAATGTGCTGGAGCAAATTATCTCTTTCAGTATAGGTCGTTATCAAGACGGCATGAGCCACGACCATGCAAGTAATGATCATGATAGCAATATTGAGCCTGGCACCCAGGACCCAGGGAATGCATGGGATGCACGTCTTGAAAGCGACCTCCTGCTGGTCTGACATCCTGAGGCGTAAACCGCTGAAACTCTTGGACCTCAAACCTTTCAGCTTTTTGCCCGTGCACATGTCACGTCCGCTCGGAGACGAGCTTCAGATACACTGAGCCCGGCGGCAAATACCTCCCAGCACAGCTGTGCGCCACTACGTGTCAAAGCGTTCATAAGGTCGAAGCAGGTGACTCTGGGACACGGCTGTGCAGTGTATGATGATTTATTGCTTGATTTCGAGCTTGCCGTTTGGCTCACAACGACTCGGACGTCATTTGGAATGCAATTTGGGAGTCTTGGGGTTGTAGCAGTGTCTTCCCAATCTTGGGTACTAAGGCAAGTGTGGAGGCTTTTCGGGTTTACCTGGTTTACTCCGGGCAAAACCCTACAAAGGTTTCCGTAAGTAGCAAAGCTGACTCCTTCGCTTTACCGCCTAAGACCTGCTGCATCGCCATGCTCGTGTTTGCCCTATTATTACTACTACATACGATTATTCGCTGGTATGACTAGTATTATTGGTATTGTTGTTATTACCATTATGGGTGGCATGATCATGTTTTCCGGCTCTGTTCGGCTCTCCCCTGAATTCACGGCAAAGCTCGACTCGTTCTCAAGGTCACGGATCCTCAAAAACAGCCTCAGTCGGTTTTCGGCAGAAGCAACGTTCCCTCCCTCCCTCCCTCCCTCCCTCCCTCCCTCCCTCCCTCCCTCCCTGGCCGCACTCTCCTAGCCGAAACCACACTGAGCGCTGGTTGTTCACAAAAATCTGGCTGTTAAATCAAAAACGGCATTGGTGTGAAACACGATTACCAGCAAAGAACCCAGAAAACCGCTTGAACGTCGATTGCAGCTTGGTTGTGCTTGGTTGTACTGTCAATGCCGAAGTCCAAGAAACCACTTGACCACCTACCGGAAGACCTGTTCATTTGAGATCCTGGAGTCCACAATCACAAGCCCGCTATGCAATCAAAGAGAAATAGGTTATTGTTCAGTTCAATTAAGGCTGAACACCCAACGCGAATCCTGAGTTCCACGTTCGCAGGCACTTCTTGACACCCTAAGGAAACATGTTATGTTCACTCAGGAGCGAACAGAAGTAACAACATCAAACAACCATTGGTTGTGACATGAAAAGCTATATGCAACATCAAATCTATATTGTTGTTGGGGCCGCAATGGTCTCCAGAGCTTCAACAGAGTTTGTCGGGGGAGTGGTTTCCAAGGAGGGGGCTGGTGCTTCGATTATCTGTTAGCATTGGTTCTAGATCATGGAAATAGCAACTAGCTGGACTTCTTTAGTGGGTTTCCTGCCAAAATACCAAACCACACAGACGAAATACAATTGACATCACACTCGCACCGTCGGTCTATGTTCATAGTGCTGAAAATTGGTTTTTGGACTAGGCCCTGTGCTGAAAAGAACTCATTCCACCAAATCCCTTTGATTCTGTTAAAACTGCTTAGTTCTCAGCCAAGAAAGTGTGTAAGGTACCGGGTCATCTTTATCGCGAACAGATAGGGTCTTGGGCTCGGCAGGTGGCGTCAGCCACCTTTGAGTACCGTCAGCATGTCGTTGACATTGTGGTTGTTGTGGTTGCGACGAGAGCATACCGGAAATGATATTACAGACTCTAATTTTGGATTGAGTTTGTCCATAAATATGGGAAACTGAACGCGGCTAAGCTGGGTTACGAACTTTGGCGATGCTGAGTGAATTTCCAACTCATGTGAGCACTCTTCATTTACATCTTCGCGAACAGTTAGAGAGTTCGATGGGGATATTTGCTTGATGACGAACCGATGGTCGTTCACCATGCACCGCTCAAACCCGTTTTTTCACTTGTTGTCTTTGTGCGACGAAACGTGTTTGCTATTCAGGTCTGTGGGTTTTCGATGGTTTAAGGGAACTCGAAACTTGTTAGGCCATCCTCTGTGCCTCTTTCTCGCGCTCTCACCCTTTCGCATGTGCAGCAGAAGCCACTGCAGGGCAGCATTCTCAGACCGGTAGGGCAAGACATCCTCCTCCCCGAACAGGACATGCCAATACACCTGCGACGACGCAGAAGGTATGAGAACTCTCTTTGTCAACGTTACAACCCTATCGAGATAAGGCAAAGAAGCAGCTTCAACTGGAAGGACTCCTTTTGACAAAGACGTAGTTACGACGTAGTTGCTACTCTTTGTGTGAGTGAACCACGAATTGTTGTCATCAAACATCTTCGGGGATCCGGGCTTACGATTGACAACGGGATCAAACAAGGATCCGACTAGCTTCAGCAGTTCCGACGTTGGCGACTAGGCGGAAGCAGCGCCTCGAACATGAGGCACCTGAGTTGGAGGTAGCTTGCGGATCTGACGTAATGGCTTTGGGTTGAGACTCTGGGTTGCTCGGAAGAATTGCAGCATAGTGCTGCTGCGGGAATGATGGGCAGGTCGGCACGAGTAGTTACAAGTTACAAGGGACATGTAGTGACTGTAGTGTACAAACTTGTTCGTTTCCATCAGTCACAACACCATACCACGCATCTGTTTTGCGCATTATTTCGGTCCCTGAGAGCTGCATTCGCGCACCCCGCCGTGCGCCGCAAACAACGTCCGCGGCAGGCATCAACAGAAAAAGGACCCCCCCAACACCTTAACATTGATTTCAATCAAAGCCTTGCCTAGATCCCAAGTCCGATAGTACATACCCCCTGCCACCCCCACAACGACAACGAGCTCTTTACATCCGACATATCCGGTGTCGGAATCCCAGGCGCAGGGTGGAGTGTCCAGGGATGTCGTGGCACCTCGAGCTCGGAAGCCAAGATAAGGGGTTTGGGGCAAAGGGCCACAGCTTTACCCCACCCTGAGTTGACTTATGGCACCCTTTATGGGAAGTGTAGAATGGGAATGGTTGTCGGTCAAAGCGGCTTCGTGACATATGCCTTTCTGACTGCCGCTGCTGCATGATGTTTGGGGTCGTCAGCCTGCGTATCGTGTACTTTGTCTACGGATCACATGGCATGGGCATGTTCATACCCACGTCTCTGCTCGGCCGAAATACGGCCAGGCCTTCGCCACGGTATCCAACGAGGTCCTTCCTACGAATGCACGGTAAAATGAAACCCTTGACATGTGACCGCATGTGTGTGACACCAACACCAAAAGCGTGGAAGAGCAAATGTACTGGCCCGGAAGGCATCTGTCCAAGCAAAGCGATTTGCAGCTCTCGTCACCCCCGGTAGATGTTCGCGACACTAAGTCTACCACGTGAGCCATCTGAAGCAGAGACCGCTCAAGAACAGCTGTCTCAGCCGATACTGCGATCCCACGTACAATGGCATCATGCCACGAAACCGTTCCGTGTGTCAAGACGAGTGGCCTCCCCTTCCAGCAATGCCAAACGCATGCAAACGCTTATCCACATGGGATCGCTGCGACCTGCACGCGCTGTCTGTCTGCCCCCAGCGGACGCTTTGGCACATTGCTCCGCTGTCATGCGCCTAGACCGCATGCGCGTTGGCCAGAAGGGCATCCAGCAACTTCTGTGACAGCAAGGCAGCCCCACACCCGGCCAGTGGTGTGTAGGAGGCAAGATGCAGCTCTCGTCTCCCGTGGGTAGGGCCAACGATCCAGTAATCTCACACACGGAATGCATTTTCAGTTTCACATGACTCTGAAGCAAAGAGTCTTTCCGTCAACCAATGTCACAAGCATGCGGATGCCGACCCACGTGGCCTCCCCTTCCAGCAATGCCAAACTCATGCAAACGCTTATCCACATGGGATCGTTGCGACCTGCACGCGCTGTCTGTCTGCCCCCAGCGGACGCTTTGGCACATTGCTCCGCTGTCATGCGCCTAGACCGCATGCGCGTTGGCCAGAAGGGCATCCAGCAACTTCTGTGACAGCAAGGCAGCCCCACACCCGGCCAGTGGTGTGTAGGAGGCAAGATGCAGCTCTCGTCTCCCGTGGGTAGGGCCAACGATCCAGTAATCTCACACACGGAATGCATTTTCAGTTTCACATGACTCTGAAGCAAAGAGTCTTTCCGTAAACCAATGTCACAAGCATGCGGATGCCGACCCACATGGGACATCTGCTGCCTGCCTGTGTTGTCCATCTTCTCCCCCCGGACTCTTTGGCGGATTGCTGGCCGGAAAGGCATCCAGCAACTTGTGGCCCCGCACCCGGCCAACGGTGCGACAGATGCAAGATGGGGCCATAGTTTCTGCTGAAGAAGGCCAACAGTTCAGGAGAAACAGCAGAGCGTTTAGAATGTATGCATAAGGGTAAGATAAGACTATGTCTTGCTACTTGCTTAATGGCCTCTGGGTTCATCCAGCAAAGCCTCTCAACAAGCCCTCAGACTGAGCATTGGACTTAACCACGCAAGCCACGAGCCCTAAACCCGACCTTCAACCGCCACTGTCGCGATCTGCTAACTTTAAGTGGTCCTCTCCTGCTTGCCGTTGTGATGGCGGTGATCTGGCAGTAGATGTGGCGATGCTGATGGTTGTGGTTTGGGTCTCGGCGGCCTATGCAGTTGGGCCGTAGTCTCGAACTACCTGAACCTCAAGCAG